TAAGGAGCCTCAGTTCTTTCCAACTGACCTGTTTCTTAGCACTATGACACTGTGGACTCAAGCTGCCGTCCCCATAACACCTACATCATCCTGCAGCACTGCCCACCGCTCTCCTGCTGCGCACCATAAAGTAAGAGGCTGCAGGTGCCAGAAAAGCAGGGTCCTTCCCTCTGTCTCTGCACTCAGCCTTACGATTTCACTCCTCCTTTTCCTCTTGTGATCATGAGAAAGATAACACAACTTGCTACCTTGCCAAGCTTCTGAGTGCAGAGAACCTGCAGCTGGTAATGAAAAAAGCAGCACTGAGCCCTTTGATTCATCTTATCTATAATTTACACCCCTAATTTTTCACTCCTCTGTGCAGCCTTTGATTAAGGAGGGAAAAAAGAAGCTAACACTGCTTTAAGCGCACTTCTTTACTAACAAACCTGTCCAAAACATTTCACCGAGGTCTCAGCAAGGGGGTGGGAGGGTGGATGGAGAGAACCAGAGTCCCCATAGCCCTTGCTCTAGGAAGAGGACAAACCACGTTATTATCAAGTACACATTCAAGTAGCCAGTTTTTACTACGAAAGCTCTTTGCCAGTGAAAAGACTTTTGGTACCCTAATGAGTACTTACAAACCGCTCAAAGGTTCCCAAGGAGTCACATGTTCCTTTTAACACTTACATTTTCTTCCCTGAAGCCTTCCAAACACTTTTCCACAGAGCCAGAAGTATAAAATATTAAACCTGAAAGTCTTTTATCTGTAACATCTTCCTGCTTTGGTTTTGATTATTTTTGAGCAAACCGAAAAAAATTATGCTTGTAATAGCTGCATGCGTACATAATTTGTGACTATGTGTGAATGTGAGCACATGCACGAAGCAGCATGTGTCAGATCACAGAATCACAGAATGTTAGGGATTGGAAGGGACCTCAAAAGATCATCCACTCCAATCCCCCTGCCGGAGCAGGAACACCTAGATGAGGTTACACAGGAAGGCGTCCAGGCGGGTTTTGAATGTCTCCAGAGAAGGAGACTCCACAACCTCTCTGGGCAGCCTGGTCCAGTGCTCTGTCACCCTCACTGAGAAGAAGTTTCTTCTCAAATTTAAGTGGAACCTCCTGTGTTCCAGCTTGTGTCCATTACCCCTTGTCTTATCATTGTTTGTCACCGAGAAGAGCCTGGCTCCATCCTCGTCACACTCACTCTTTATATATTTATAAACATGAATGAGGTCTCCCCTCAGTCTCCTCTTCTGCAAACTAAAGAGACCCAGCTCCCTCAGCCGCTCCTCATAAGGGAGATGCTCCACTCCCTTGATCATCTTTGTAGCCCTACGCTGGACTCTCTCCAGCAGTTCCCTGTCCTTCTTGAACTGAGGGGCCCAGAACTGGACACAATATTCAAGATGCGGTCTCACGAGGGCAGAGTAGAGGGGGAGAAGAACCTCTCTCGACCTACTAACCACTCCCCTCCTGATACACCCCAGGATGCCATTTCACCTCATGCTTCTGGCAATGATTTGCCAACTATAAGATTTTTAGATTGGGAGATGAATGAATGAGGAACAAAAGGTGATACTGGGCCTTCTAATGTAACATGGAAATGAGCTCAACACATAGCCCAGTGATCAGAGCAATTCCATAATGGAGACATCTATGAAAGCACTGAACAGAGCACATACAGGTATTCTCAGCTCAAGAAGGACGGGGAATTGCTTGAAAGAGTCCAGCACAGAGCCACAAGGATGATCGAGGGAGTTGAGCATCTCCCTTATGAGGAGCGGCTGAGGGAGCTGGGTCTCTTTAGCCTGGAGAAGAGGAGACTGAGGGGTGACCTCATTAATGTTTATAAATTTGTCGAGGGTGAGTGTCAGGAGGAAGGAGCCAGGCTCTTCTCAGTGACAGCCAATGACAGGACAAGGGGCAATGGGAGCAAGCTGGAGCATAGGAGGTTCAATCTGAACATGAGGAAAAACTTTTTTACTGTGAGGGTTACAGAGCACTGAACAGGCTGCCCAGAGAGGCTGTGGAGTCTCCTTCTCTGGAGACATTCAAAACCCTCCTGGACGTGTTCCTGTGTGACCTAGTCTAGGTGATCCTGCTCTGGCAGGGGGGTTGGACTGGATGATCTTTCGAGGTCCCTTCCAACTCCTAAGATTCTGTGGTTCTGTGATTCTGTGTATTGCTATAAAGAGATCTGACTTTTATTGTGTATATGTTTGCAGAGCACACCTGATCAGTGTGTTCACAAATGGAAGTACAAAGTTCTGACAAACACCATGCTGTGAACAGTAGAAGAAAGATGAATTTTGGCTTTTAACTGTCTAACAGTGTAAAAGCTGCCTTTGTGTAGGAAAAAAAGTGCCAAATACCTTCTATGGCATTACAAGAAGATCAATACTAACCATTCCCAATGCAGGTAGTGGTGAAATTTAAAAAAAAAAAATCTAATTAACTTGTCTCCAACGAAGTAGACACCAACATCTTGATTATTTTGAAGATAAAAGAAAACTCAGAGTAAGAAAGAGGTTAAATAACACAACTAAATCAGAATAAACCACAAGCCTACGTAGTCTGGTATGACAACATTTTAAAAAAGCAACAGTCTCGATTCCCTATATAGTAGACATATGTCAAAACAACTCTTTTCATTTCCTTCAGACTGTGATTTCATTACATCCGTTGTCAAAAGACATTGCATCAATTATTTCTGAATACTGAAAATATTCAGCAGTTCCTAAAAATGGTACTACAATATGTTACTACATATGAGATGTTTTTTCTTGCTGCTTTTCCCTTTCTCCAGTATCTGACAGAAGGTGAAGGGCAGCTAAATGAATTATCATGCTATTTTTACAGTTGTTTTCTGAACTTTTCAATATACCAAAGTGCTTTTTTCCAATTCATCACACATGATGAGGTCCACCTGACAGTATTTCAACAACATTCCACAATCTTGAAGGCACATGCACAACCACAAACTTATACTTTAAGTAGCAGTGTAGTCAACAACCAGAAACATGGAGAAAAACAACCTGTAATATGGTTTATACTGAAAAAAGGATGACAAACTTGTCTCACCTTTCCATCTATTGAAGGGAGAGCTAGTACTTGAACAAATAAACATTTTACAACTGACAGGACAGATACTGTTATACTATGGCTAAATTATCTCTTTGTTAACAGAAGTAATTTCTGGGTCCAAGAAACCCACTCATTTCCTGCCCAGCTGCACAACCCCAGTGTTTTTAACAGTCTCAATTCAGAAGTCTATGCCATGCTATACTGTCTCAAATTTTTAACATCAGATGAAAAAAACCAAACAAACCAAAGTCTTCAAAGACAGCACTTACACCCAGACAAAATACTTCCATTTTTAAAGATGTATCTAAACGGTATAGAACTACAGGTCAGTGATTCAGATGTGTCACAAAACTAGGACTCCTACATACAAACAAACACCTAAGGTTGCCGTGGGACATCCAAGCAATTAAAAAAACCAAACCAACAAAACAGGAAAACAAGAAATCAAACCAAAAACTTGAACAACACTGCACAGCTAAATTTCCTGACAAAAATACCATAGAACACAGGACTGCTTACCCTTTCGCACTGAGCAGCTGAAAATAATGAAACATTCCCTGTTTATTCTAGGGCAGTTTTTTCCACATTGACAGAAAAACAGGTTTTTCTACCTGAGTAATTTATGTGAACTAAATCAGCTACTTAATTCTAGAAATAGGACCTTTCTATTCAGAAAACCTGAGGTTTGTAAGGACAGAATAAGCAACAAATAAGCGTGAGCTAAGAAAAAAACCAAACCAAAAACCACCAACAAAAACCATGCCTCAAAATAAGGAAGATCTTGAAAACCAGCTAACGGTGAAAGGATAAAAACTACAATCAAACAACAGTTATTATGCAGATAAGAAGAAACAGTCCCACACTGGCAGGAACATGTCAGTTTTGGAGATTTTTATGTCACTTCTAAAAAACAATGCCATTAAGTTCTCAATGGAGAAGACGGAAAAAAAACCCAAAGCAATAATTGCATTAAATATAATTTTAAGGCTAGGAGAACAAAATTCACGGCCTACTGATGCATTTCTTGAACGTTCTAATGAGAGCCACAATTTAGGCGTTTAGATAACCAATTCAGGCACAGAACATCTATCCCAGGAATAATAAAAACCTATGCTCAGTCTACCCAAGCGCCTCTTATTTCATATCACCTTTCACTGCTTTGTGTCTCAAGTGCTATTCATATTCCTCAAGAATTGGGTAGAGATTGTTTTTGCTAGCATACACTCTTATTTTACTTGGTGTGTGCTTTTCCCCAAGTTATTTAGGAAGACCAAAAAAAAGCATTTACAGCTGTGTGGCCAGAGACCTCCTGAAACTCAAGGTCGTACAGAATTATTACTGAAACACATTAACAGAAAATAAAACCTTGAGAAAAATGATAGTCAGGTTGCAGTCAACATACAGAGCATCCCAGCTCTCTGCCATCATCTTGTAGATTATCTAGGCATACCAACTGAAATTATGCTGTTAATGTCTGTGGATTAAGGAATGTTGATCCATTGCTGTCTTACACTGTTTCGATTCCTGTCAAGAATGGATAAGAAAAATAATTTGTCTACCTCTGGCTGCTCAAGGCTACTGTGGGCTTTGCCAAACCATTCAGACGGAATCACAACTAGTAAGGAAAACTGGAAGACTAGCTTGACCTATTCAATTTGCCTGGCAAAACACTTTTCTCATTCCCAGCAGCACTGAGTGCTGTCGTCAAGACAGTGAGCAATGTAACACTACGAATGCAGTTCAAAATTAAAAGTAACTACTCTGTAATCTTCTGGTTGTGTACAAGATAGCTGCATCCAATAGATCTTTATTACCATAAAATCTGTGTGGTGTTTTCCTTTTTTCAGTCTTCTGTTTTGTAATACAAGAAAATACACAAGCAACTACACAACCGGTATCTGTCCACATTAAGAAGTTAAATGGTTTACCATTCAGGGGGCACCATGCTTCCATCAAGGTCCCAAAACGTATTTTTGCCATTCATTTCATCAGTATAGATAACCCATCTGTGTCGACCTTAAAAAAAACAAACAGAAATACTGTATTAGCTCAAAAAAAAGAATTCATAGAAAGGAGACTGATCATGAAGACACAAGGAAAAGCATTTTGACAAAGTATCTACCATTATGGACACTTATTTCAGAGGCAGTAAAGCTTCTATTTTTCTAAGTCATTTGTATTCCCACTGTTTCGGTATTTTTATATGGCCGAATCTAATGCTCCGAAGAAGTAAGTATTAGCTATTGTATATGTAATGGGAAATGGAAACTTGCAAAATTCTTCAGGCAGAGAAACAGGCTTGGGGATTTCTTTCCTCATTAGGAGGAGTCTTTTCCGAGAAGTACTGAGAAGTACAGTTGTGAGGCCGTTTTAAAGGCAGTTCCCTTTCTTCTCCACCTGCTCTTAGGTCTAGGACCAAATCCAACTCTCAATCACATTACTACATAGCATACCTACATGCAAAGCACCTGACTGGCTTAGATTTATCCCATATTTATTATTTCAGATTGACTATGTCTGCAGATGAATTGAGAGACGCAGTAGAGAGACAGAAGATGTCAAAGTATTTCTATGAGCCCCCTCTCTAAGACTCACACAAATTAAGTACAAGGAAGTTAGGCTGGCAACAAGTTATATTTCACTAGAAGAAACTACACAATCCAGACCAAGCTGGACAGTCAGCCAGGAGGTGTTCACATCAGCACACGTACCAAAGAAGTTTCTTGTGTCTTCATAGTATTTGTTTCCATATTTGTCAGTTCCTATCAGCGTACCAGTCTTCAAATCATTGACCCTGTGAATTCACAAAGCAACAGTTTCAACTGACATCATCTTAGAACAAAGTTGTGATCAACCTCTCTTAGGGGTTGGTATAAAAACTAATGAAATCTCTTAAACACATATATGTAAAGTTATTAAAAAATTATTCAAGCTTAAGGATTGCAAAATGCAATCACAAAGTTCTGCAACTAAAGTCAGTGTGTCTTTACTGTGCACCCCAATGGCAGTATAATAAATGCTTGTGGTTGGTACGGTTACGGGGATCAGGTGCGATTCTCCACCTGGCACACCTCTCCTCTAACTTCAGTCTTCTGAAAGAAAAAAGAGGGCACTGCCTCCAGTCTTGCCTGCTTCCTTTTTCTGCCTGGCAGAAAGGTGTCAACACAGCCTGAGATCTCTGACTCACAAAAGCTCCCTGACAAGATACCCATTCAGATGTGCTTAGGAAGAAGCACTCTGGTGAAACCCAATACTCAAACTCTCCTACACTTTTATTTCCCCAGCTCCATTTCTTCTTGAGAACTGCCAGTGTAATAGCTGCAGCCTGAGAATGGAAACGAAATGGAGAAAACAACTTGAGAGGCATGACAGAATAATAACAGTAAAGTACCAGCCAGGGAAATCATGCGCTGTCTTAACTTATCCTGCTTAACAGCTTGAAGTTTCCCTCTAAAAAGTTGTGCAAGAGGAAGGTGTATTTAAGCTGCTTTCTGCAGCGGAGACAGAAAAGCCAGAAGCTGCCTGTCACCACATCTAACAGGAATAGGAAGACAAAGCTGAGACGTCCCAAAAGTCAAGTGGACTTCCCAAAGGCACACAATATTGTGCCACAAAACAAATGAAAAAATAAATAATGAAATGTATAATAATTGTAAAGGGAGCAATACACTGACTGACAGGAAGAAGACAACATGCTCAACTTAAAGAAGAAATACAGAGCTGACTGAAGGTTACTAGTGAAGATCCACAAAGCATGTTAATGTCAGTAGCCTTATTTAACACTTTACAGGGCTTCTGATCAACACAAAATCGAAATCCGCCCCCAAAAAGCACAGGGGTCTAGCAGATTATGATATTATGATGATACAGAGGAAAGCCACATTATTATACAGGAAGTTCTGTACTGTCTTCAGGGCTGGAGTGATACCACCAGAATGGAAATTCAGTGGTATACAGGTCATAGCACAAGGTGATGTACCTGGAGACTAATAAGATCTGAAGCATGCGTGTAACCCCAAGGAAAACATCTGGATGTCACCGGGCAATAGTGAGCTGCCAATTAAGCAACACATGGGGAAAAAAGACAAACTGACCCTAGGATGTCCCAAGTGAACTGAGCTGTCTTCAGTGCACAAAGCAACTACTAAAGCCACTGTATGAGAATACTGAAGAGGCCTGATCAGCAGCTGTGTAAAATGTTATGTTTAACTGTCCAAAACAGATCAATTTAAAACTACAAGAACGAACAGGAAAAGGACTATTATGATGACTGGAAAAAAAAAGTCTTCAAGAAGGCTCAGAAAGCTTGGCTCGCCTTGCAAATCCTCCCTTTCCCATACTCCTGACTTCCCACTACTGATTAAAAAAAAAAAGACTTTTCGGCTGTGTGCAGCTGCAGCAGCGGCAACGGGACTAAGGAGCCCCAAGGCCGGATGCAGCGAAGACCTGCCTGGGCCATACTGACAGCTCAGCATCGAGGAACCCACTGAGATGCCTACAGAAGAGAAAACAACCGGAGCCTGCCTGCGGAACGCTCTCACCACGGTATCCG